CCTTTCCAGTCTGCGAACGTGTCTCTTGATTCTGCGAGAAAGAGATCCCATCACCTAAAGTGATTAGATCACATAAAAATGGACAAGAACTTATCCCAAATGATATATTTCAATGTTTTATTTTAAAGTATTCACCATTGTTTTCCTTCCTTGCTTACGATTTTTCTACAGCTGTGAAATCGCATATGCTATACAGCATGCCCTTCGGCTGGTTGGGAAAGCAAAGTATTTTCTCAAGGGCTGGCTGGGGGTTGTGTAATCTCCGGCATGCATCTGTGAGCCCACAGCTGCCTGGGAGGGCCAAGAGATGCAGAAGGCGAGCCAACTAACGAGAGCACCACATTCTGTCAACCATGTCTTGTCATGTGATTCGTTTTCATTGCTCACACTGCAGATACAACTGTTTACTGTTCTCACAGTTTGCAAACATGAATACCTTAGAAGTGCTTCCCTACCAAAAAAAGGAGAAAAAGAGTTGTAAATTTCCTTTTCTAGTTGAGCGGTCTTTAGGAGCCTGGAAGAAGCTCTAAAAAAAAAAAAAAAAAAAAAAAAAAAAAAAGTGATGCGTGTGGTCGTCTCTTATCATTGGAAATCTGTGGTCCATCCTATGGTGGGAATTCTATCATTAAAACTGGTCTGAAAAGGAACACGTGACCCTTCAAATGACCGTGAATAGACCTAGCATGGCAATGAACAGCTTCTAGTACAACTATGATATTCATAACCTTAAAAAAAAACCCAAATGAACACTTTTGTTTTAAACATGTCACTATCAAATACTTAAACAGCAAATACTTATTGAAACCTAATATGCCTGCAACTTTATGCCTCCTACTCTGATTCTGGGGCATAAACTTAATTAAAAATGTGTTTACCTTTTAAATATTTACAGTTATACACAATTCAAGAGGTACAAGAAGTAAAAGTTCATCAAAGTTATTTCCAAAGGCATACAAAACATTTTCCTGTCTTCAAGTTTCTTGTGATCCTGCTCAAGAGAGAAAACAGAGGAAATCCAAGGCCCTACCTCAGGGCCTTTGCACTTGCCGTTCCCTGTTCTTGGAGCACATATATACCTCACATATCTGCATGGCTTGTTTCCTTTGTCCTCCAGGTCTTCCCTCCACTGTCGCCTTCTCACTGAGAGCTCCCTGGTCTCACTCTCACTCCCATCTCCTTTCCCTCTTTTACCTTCCTCTCTAGCAGTGGTTAGTGTCTTCTATGCTACTCAAATGTATATTGTAAATACGAATATCTAATACATTCTTTGTTTATTGTCTCTCCTGTCCCCCTCAGAACATCAAGTTCATGTGGGTTGGATTTCCTCCCAAGTTTGTTCATAGCTATATGCCTAGCACGAACCTTGTGCACCTTTTAGAAAAGAATGAGGGGCCAGGTGGTTGTGCAGTGGTAAAACATGAAATGCTGCAAAGCTGACCTACATGGGAAGGTTCTGGATTCATGTCCCTGAGTGCACTGGACACACTCATGCCCCTGGCCCAGGGCTGGCCGACATTTGGGGTGGATCATGGTGTCAAGACAGTTTTGAAACAGCGACTACCTCTGGGAAGGGAACTGGATGACTGGAAATAGGGCAGATGGGAGATTTGCTTCTTGGAACATTTTAGACCTTTCAGTTTTGTACCAAGTATGTATACAGGTACTTAAAAGATAAAAAATGGGCACAGCCAGAGTAGCACACACTGGACACTTAGTTGCTGTGGTGCAGCCTAAGGCCACATGGGTAGACCCAGGTTCAATTCTTGGGCTACCCTAAAAGCTGTGCATGGGTGCACATGCCTGTAATCCCAGCTCCTTTGGAAGGCTGAGGCAATAGAATCACAGCACAGTAAGATCCTGTCCAAAATACCACACACACACGCACACACGCACACACACACACATGCACACACACACACACACACACATGCACACCCCCCACACACACACACACAAAGAGAGTAAAAAATAAAAAAAGAACAGCTCCACTAGTGATGTTCAGCAAGATTAAGAAGCAGTGCTAATGAGGAACTCATGAGACCACCCAGGAGAGGTGAACATGTCCCTTAAAACACAGAAACCCATTCAGCAGAGGATGAGAACCTTGCCTGCAGAGGCCATGGGTGGGCACAAACTGGGAACAGTGACTAGTTCCAGGGACACACACTAGACTGAGCCTCTTGGGCACAGGGGTCTGGTTCTTACTCGTTCTGGTCTGACCCTCATAACAGTGGTGTTTCTTCTCTGGAATCTCAGCACTCTGGACTGAATGCTGTGCTTCTAGCTCTTGGATTCCGACCAGCATCTTTCTTCCACTCTGTCGGTTTCTCTCTCCTCTGCCTTCTAGCTTTGGCTTCCTTTTTGCCTCCTTGGGCCTGAGACCTTCCTCTGGCTCCTCTCCTCTATCCCCCGCAGCCTGGCTATGCAGATAGCATCTTATCCAGAGACCAGCGGCCTTGGCTCCATGACAGGGCTCCCCTGGTGTCCTCTTCAGTTTCCCAGGCTTCGTCCCTCTCTCATTCCTCTCAGTCCACCCCCTTGAACTGCTTCTAACTCTTTGCTCATGTCTTTTCCAGGCGATCTCTTCCTTCTCTAGCACACTCTGCCTTAAACGAGTTTCTCAAAACAGACTGTTAGTCTTTTCAACACTAGTTTCCTGGTCTCATAGGCAGCCACCAGCTTCTTCTCCTCCCATCCTGTCTGCCTCCCTTCTGCAGGTCCCTTGGACCGCCATGGCCCGTGTGAGAAGCACATCTCTGGCTGGGCACACACTAACAGATCTAATGCCCATGCTGGCAGGTAGCTGTGACCTCCCAGATGGGCTTACCATGAATCCACACATATTCCTAGTATGTGGAAAAATATATAGTATTTAAATGCATGGGCTCTGGATTCAGATTTTCCGTGTTTAAATTCTTTCTCTGTCAGCTGCATAATTAGATATGTGACCTCGAGAAAATTACTTCTCTGGGCCTCATTTTTCTTATCTTTAAAATAGGAAAAAGAGCAACATTTGCCCCATAAGGATGGCATGAGGATAGAACATACTAATAAAGTGCTGAAGGCAGAGCGTGATCCACACCAAGCTCTCAAAAAGCCATGGCTGGTTTGTTATTATTTTTACTACAAGAAGTGATTTGGCTTTGGGATTCTTTTTCTAGACCATGTTCCCCAGTTTTATCCTCAGGTATTCATAATATTATATGAACCTAACGTATGGAGATCATGTATTTTTAACCAACATGTGTGTATGAGTCATTTTGGGGACATTTCATATACAGCATCAGATTTGCTCCTTAAAAGGTGACTGAGTTACAAACTGGGTAAAGGATGTAACTGTGCCATTCCTATTTTACAAGGGCTGAGACACATGAAGTAGCTTTTCAAAGTCACATAACAAGTGACCAGTAAGGGCAAATCTACCCTCCAAGTCACCTAGTTCTTTCCATTAAACTATACAGATCAAAAGGGTTTGTTGACAAACCTTTTCTGCAACTAAGGGCAGATAGTTCAGTTCTGGGTCATATGCTGTCTCTGTTTCATGTCTTGCATTTTTATTTAACAATACTTTAAAAATGAACCCCCCCCACTTTTTTTTTTTTTTTTTTTGCTAGAGGGCACGTGCACTCATAAGAAAGAAAGAGGAGAAAGCACCCTCCATGGGGCATGGCCACACCACTATTCTTTGTCCTTTATCTCTCCCTTCTTTTAGGATTTTGGGCATACATGTACACACGCACACACATGCACTTGGATTGTTTCTCAAGTCACTGGGTCCAGGAATCGAACTACATGGTCAGCCGTGCAGGATCCTGTTGCCTTAACCAACAGGCCACAGAACTGACCTAAAAAAGCATTCTCAACAATAGGCTGGTGGGAAAACAAACCATGTGCCACTGGCCCAAGGATTATAGTTTACTTACCACTGACATACATTATGTTGTGAAATTAAAGTACAAAGTTAACAGAAGTAGGTATTTAAGATGCCTTAGCCTTTGGTTTGCAGTTGGTTTGCTTTGTTCATATTTACTGAGCAGTTACTATGTGTGAAGTGCTGTTCCAAGTGTTGTGTACATACTAACGTATTTAATCCTCACAAACACCATTTCTGATAGTTACTGTCATCTGGCCAGTTTTTTCTTTTTGGTGAGAGAGAGAGAGATTTTTGCTATAAGGGCACTTGTGCTCGCCAGAGAGACAGAGAGATACAGAGGCAAAAATAGAGAAATCATCCCCTAGGGAGATGGCCATGCTGCAATCCTTTCTCCTCCATTCTCTTCTTGGAACCTTGGGCATGCATGCACATGCACTTGCTGAGTTCGGGACTCAAACCATAGTCAACCACGTGGGATTCCAGTGCCTCAACCACTAGTCCACCTGCTGGTCCCATATTCTGGCTTGTTTTACAGATGGAGAAACTGAGACATGGTGAAATTAAGTAACTCTCCTGAGGTCACATGACTAGTAAACAGCAGAGCGAGGATTCAGATCAAGTAATTCCAGAGCCTATGCACTTAACCACTGTGTTTTGGTTGCGAGCTCTGACTGGTATAGCTATTTGGGAGGGAGAAAGAGAATGGGGGGAACCATGTAACCCCTAGAAGATTCTAGAATAAACACATTTCCGAGCTATCACCTTGAAGCTGAGGAGGTGTGGAAACATACCATGTGTGTTCTATAAGAATGGCCAGGCTGGAAGCCTGCAGTGGCCTTTCTTCACAACATTACAATAGAGGATACGGATGAGACTGCAGAGGCATCTTGATTTGAGAAAAGCACTTGATTGGATCTCATTAAATTTTAATCATAAACTGAATTCAAAATAAATTGAAAACTGGTTGACAGAGCACAAACAAAGGGTGATGATAAATGGTGATGCATCTAGAGAAGGGATATCTTCCAGGGGACGCCTCTGAGGCAAGGACGGATGGGATTTAATGAAGGTGTTCTGTCCCTGGAAGAAGACAAATCGCATAGCAAGGAACGGAGGAAGGGCAGGAGTGAGCAGCCTGAGTAATTAATAAACCACATTAACAGCTCCTAAATGATCAAGGTCTGGCATTCACCAACTGTTGGGATTTATTTATTTATTTGTTTGTTTGTCTGTATTTTTAGCATCTTTGGGTCAACAATGAGGTTGAAGAGCCCTAGAGACATACAGCAAAAATATTTCCAGTACACATAAATAAATAAATAAATAAATAAATAAGTATATTAATTCGCTGCTGGGAGGATCCTTAGATTCAATTTGGGTCAGCTATTTTCAATTACAGATTCTCAAGGTCTAACTTTATTCCCCAGGAAGTAATTTTTTTCTGATGTGTCTAAAAGCCATTGAGTTTTGAAAAAATCTTCTAAATGCATTAATGTTCTTTGTTTACTGCTCAAATGCATGCAAACTTTCAGCACATCGGTCTGCTTCGTGGAAGGTGGGTTTGCGTGATTCAAACTCCAGTGAACAAATACTTCCAAGTTGACTTGCAGAATTTCCCAGGCACAGTAACTCTTCCACTGGGTATGCCAGAGGATTTGGAACCCTGGAGACAAGGGAACATTTACTGGCCCATGAGTATAACCTTGCACAGTAAGACTCATGCCAGGCTGAAGGCAGTGCAGCACAAACAGACCTGATTTGAGCATCTTTGCTCTGAGACTCCTCTGAGCTACAGTCAAGGAGGAGATGGACTAATGGGAATGAGCTGACTCCTCCCCATTAGAGGCTGGTCATCAACACTTAGAGAACAACCTCAAACCAGCCCATGTTTTTTTGTTGTCATTGTTATGTTTTTTTGCAGATAAGACAGTTTCTTCTCTAAGAACACGTCTGAGATCCCTAATTCAGTCCAGGACACAGAGTGATGGAGAGGAAGGGGTAGAAAGGAAAAATCAGGAGAGAAGGGGGGCAGGGATAGAAAGGAAGAGGGAAGAATGGACGGGAAGCAAGGAAAATGGAGAAACCTTAAAGGACCTTTTGTTTATTTGCCCTTTGTAGGTGGAGAAGACAGACTTACTTAAATTGTGATTTTAAATTGTGATCACTGGTCAGGAGAAGGGGCAGTTGGGAGGAAAGGGAACACAGGTAAAAGGTGAGAGTGTTGCAGGGTGAGGCAGCGGGCCAGGAAGTGTGAGCCATCAGCTCAGAGCAGGAAGAGTTCGGCAATGGGAAGGAGACCTGCTGACCCCAGGAGTTCCCCCTAGGAAAAATGGAACCCAGGGTACAGAAAAGCAATGAGGCAGAGGAGAGTAAAGTTTCTCTCACTGCTGAGGGAACTGCCAAGACCCCCAGCAGCCTAGGTCTGTGAATGGAGGAGTGGGACACCCAGGATGGGGCTCCAGCCAGTCCCATCCATTCCAAATTGCTTGATTTCAGCAGCCCTGTCAGGAAGTCAAGCCAAACTGACACAGCTCTGAGGGCTACCACATAGATGAAAGCCCACCCTTCCTCAGCCAGCTTGCAAGGTCTGGTCTCCAGGAAGGTCTGTGGAGTGCACACACTACACATGCATGTACACATGCAGACGCAGAGTGAGCTGGGCAGTCAGGCAGTCATGCACACGTGGGCTCCTGGGAGGCCACTGGGCACCAGACATGCAAGGATGTCAGAGGGAGAAAGGACACCCCGGGTTTCATGAACTAAAAATATCTTGGTGACAACACACTGGGAAGAAACAGGAGAGGCCCAGGGGAACAGCTTCTTGATCCCAATCCTCAGATGCTTTCTCACAAAAAGACTGCAGGATTGTTTTGATAAGGAAATGTGATCAAACATTAAGGGTCATTTCATTGGATCTGAAAGGAATTTAAAGTTTAATGTGCCTCCTCTGTGCTTTTTTTTTTCCAGCCATTGCCTGCAATTCATATATGTTTTTAAAGGCTAATCTAAAATTGCCTGCAGCAGAAAAATGATTTGAATTTGGGATATTTCTGAGATTTCCACTCAATGATGTGTAAAACAGATTTAATTTAGACCAACTATCCCACCATAATCTATCTTTCTGAATGCCTGTTCCAGAATGCCTGCAAGTACAACTGTCTTCTCTTCGTTTTATTTTCAGAGCATTTGAAAAGCACTAATTCTTTCATCCTGGGAGATGCAGACTTTACCACTTTCTGTCTTTGCATTCCCCCAAAAATGAGTATCCCTGACCTGTTGGTACACTGCGACCTGTTGGTACCCAGCCCAGACTTCATGCTTAGCCTCCTCTGAACAATAAACAGAGCAGAGCAACTGCATTATCCATCCTGAGGTGCTCCATCACTTTGCGATGTGTAGCTGCAGCACCAGATTAGGAACGACTGTGGCCTGCCCTTTTCGATCAAAGCTGCACTGGCCACTGGACAACAGCCCAATTTCAGATGACAGGGCATTGTTATTTGAAAATAAAAATCGGGACTTCATCGCAGGTGAAATTCTCTTCCTCTCATCCCAGGGAATGGAGAAGAACACCTAAAAATACCATGAGGACTACCAGGGTCTTTATAGCCGACAGAAACAGAACAGCAATACCAAAGTCCTGAATCGGCTCATCCTGGTCAGCCAGTGCCTATGATAACTGTATGGACAGTAAGCGATTGTTCCAAAGGAATAATAACAGTGGGGGCAAAAAAAAGATAGTGGTTTGGAAAAGGTTAAGGATTCAGAGTATCTGACACCTAATGGTGTGTCTAATCCTAGTCATCACCCTTACATGGTATTAGGATGTGTTTCACAGTCTCCTTTCCCCTCCCATTAAAGGCCCACGCGCAGTAACTGGCCTAGCCAAGGAATGGTTTCCAGCTCCAGCCAAGTAACTCTGGCTCTGGGAGCAGGGCTTGTCTGCCAGCTCCCTGGCCTGCCTTGACTCTGTGGACAAGTGTGCAGGAAGAGTCTTCCTGGGTAACCTCAGTGGGACATGAACTAATTCCAGAAATCCCCTGTTTTCTCCTACTTGAGTAGCGCCAACAAAAACGTCTAATTCCAGGCAGCCCTCCTCCAGAGCCAGGAGGCTGCCCAGGCCCACAGTCTTGGAGCCTGATTACTGCTTTACTGTTTGCTTGGAGAGCAGGTGAGTGAAACAGAAATCAAAGGGTATGTGGAGCCTGAGCACCAAGAAGGCATTTGATAGCATGCTGGCTGGAGGGCGGGGATCAGAAAAGTATTAAGAAACAAAGTCCTTTTCCTTGAGGGACTAACCAGCTAGTAGCAGGAAGCAAAATTTATATACACGAATAATCAGTTAACAAATAAGTCTTCTAAGACCACCCGCAGAGCCGCTGGGAGTACCCTATCCCTGTTTTGTTAGGAGGGAATTTAAATAAATCATGTTAGTTCACCGCCCTCCACCACCCTACCCCCACAATTTACTGATGAAGAAATCCAGGCATGGGGAGCCAAGGCAAGTTTCCTAAGTCGTATAACCACAAGAAGTGGAGAACTGGAAAGCAAGCTCCTCGTCCTCTTTTTAATTATGCATTGGGTCTCTTTTTCTTTCATTCCTTTACAGATACCTCCCTCTTCTAAGAGGCCATCTTGAACTTGAAAGCCACAAGTTTGATTAGTGTCTAGGATCCCGTATGAGCCCTGCTCCCCCTCATCTTCCCCCAAAGCTCGGTGCAGCGCCAGCAAACGCCTGGGCGGAGGGGAGGGGGAGGTGGAAGAGGAGGGAGCAGAGCCGGCCACTCACTGTAGGCACCGACACCGAGCTGGGCAGAACTTCCTGGCCCGAGAACGTGGTGGTGATATTTTTCCCCCCTGCATGAAACAGAGATCGAGAAAACTTGGGAGTTCTCCTTCCCACTCTGCCACTGACGTGTCCCGGGGCTGGAAGCCAGTGACTGAATCCTCGCCATATCTGGCTCCCTCCTGGTAGAAACGGGGCTTGAATCCTTGATCCCAACTTGCCAGGACACGACGTTCCCGAACAAATGGTCCCCAGGCAGCTCTGAAATGTATCAGAATGTGTGCCTCCTCTCCTCCAAGAGTTAATCTTGGCTCCCCCGTCTGAAACTCTAACCCGTCAACACTTTCCAGCAGCAGACACTTAACTGTCATTTTCTCAGCCCAAGCTGGGCTCCGCGAGAACGAGTTAAAGTGGGCAGAAGGAGGCAAAGGAGAGAGCGACAGAGCATTTCAGTAAGAAGAGAGTGTTTTGGTTAAGAACTAAGACTAGGTGGGCAGCGGCTCAGACTGACTTACCTTAGGACCACCACGGACAGACAGACCGAACCTAGAGGTGGTCGCGCTCAGTGTCTGTCTCTCTCCACCTTGGGTCCCTGTCGGCCTCGCTTCGCCCTCGCCAGGCCCAGGTAAGCGGTAGAACAGGCTCTGAGCAGGAAGTGGAAGTTGTATGCAAATTTCTACCGAGGCTATGAAGTCTCGTCAGAACTCTCCCATGGGCAGTGAATCAATGGCTGAGAAGTCACTTCAGTTCTTAAAACAGAAACCTCTTTCATTCAGGAGAAAGCCAGTGACCAATTAGGCTGCATTTTTATTTCACCACTCAGCTAAGAAACTGCCCAGTAATGTCCCAGCTTCATAGCAGTGGCTTTGCCTGAGAAGGTATCTCTGGGACAGGATGACACTTAAGTGTTAAGGTCACTTATTCATTACCAGCTCCAAGGAGGAACTTGGGGAGTGGGGGGCAGATAATGGGGTAGACTATAAAGCCAGAGCTCAAAATCCCAAGAGAAAAATGGAGAAGGGATTGCAGCATGGCGACGTGGGAGGGGTGGGGGGGAGGGGCTGTGATTTCTCACTTTTTCCTTCTCTGTCTCTCTCACGAGGCAAGCCCACACACCCTATTGCAAAGATCTCTTAAAGAAAAAAAAAAAGCCAGATATTCTTACTATCGCCTATAACTATTTAAGACACCAGCACTTGCTACCTGTAACTAGGAAATGGGGTACTCAATGCTATGCCCCTGCACACACACTACCCCATTGTTAGGTACAAAAAACTAGCTTTTAAGAAAACATACACACACACAATCAGGCATGGAAAAGTAGCTACTTTTAAGAAAATACACAGGCGAGCGCTCATGCACACACACACACACACACACACACGCAGACATGCACTTATCTTCCTCTGGCTGCATTTTTCAAGATCTTGTGTTTATTTCTCCCCCTTCCCTTCCCATTGTTTGATAAGTAGGCTACAAAGAATTTATCATACAGGAGAGGCTGGAAGCAGGATCTGCCATGGCAATGTGTGGGTGTATAGGACTGTTGTCTTTAGGGTAGCAGAGGGTGATGGGAGCTGTGTCTGTAGAGCTCAGGAGTCACAGGGATCTGGGTTTGACCTCAGCCATGCCCCTGGCCAGCCAGGCTGTTAGGGCAGGCACTCAGTATTCCTTGCCTGCCTGTCGAAGTGTCTGAGTCAACCAGCCCACTTAACCATCTCTCTACTTTCGTGCAGGGCACAAGGCCTGGCACGTCAGTTTTGCTTACCCAGGACACATAAAGCAGGTTATCTTACATTCTACAAGCAGAGGGAATGCAGCTTGTTCTTTTTCTTTAATTTTTTTCTTTCATTTATTTATTTATTTTTT